TGTTCCATATAAAGTCGAACCCCTATTAAGTGGCCACCTATTTAAACGGCCACCCCTGTCAGGCAGCCAGTAATCAAAGTTCTGATGAGGGCTTTTCTATTGCTTTTGACCTCTATTAAGCAGCCAGCCTCCTTTAAGCGACCACTATCCCTCTCCCCAAGGGTGGCCATTTAATAGCGGTTGAACTGTAGATGAATTCAATGACATAGTTTAATGACTGGACCAGGTGGCTACATGTATGTACATTTGTTTTCACAGCTGGCAGAATTCAGCCAGCTGTCTACTTTTACTGAAAACCTTAAACGAATGAATATATAAATAAACAAAAAATGAACACCTTGCATTGTACAATATAACAGTTATCAATAAGAGTGGAACCCCACCATGCCGTGTAATAACATTGACTACAGAGCTTTTCATAAGCACATGGCAGTTATTTTGGGCAGAAAGAACTCTGTCAGGAGTGAATCGTGTTTCAATTACATGTAAGATTAATTTGTTAATATTGTTGTTGTACTAACTTTAGGTCTCCACACTCAAAGTAATGATCACCCAGGTCATCATGTCCTCGTCTGTCAAACAGATATAACAAGTAGTGAGTATAATGTAGTACATTGCAGGGCTGTGCTCTAGAAGTGCCTGGGTGCCACAGGTGACTAACTTTTACCTTTGGGTGACTGGAAAAACTCACTCTTTTCATATAAGCTTCATTGTTAGTGATTCATGAGATTTTTGGCCTGAAGGATTAAATTATAGTCATCTTTGAAAACTGGACAGCTAGTAAAAGTAATCCCTACACAATACAGTGTGCCTTGCTTAAAACAAGGTTCAGGTACCAATAATTAATTATTTATGTTTTATTTTTAGCCTACACCCAAAGATTCTTAACGTAATCAATCATTCCTGATTTACTAGTAAGAACCATTGCTTAACTTCTGGTTTTCAGTCAAGTACTGTTGCAATTGTGATTGCCAGCAGTATACATGTGAAACACCTCCATCAGTAATCATGGCAACTTTATTACTGATAACAATTTAAACCAGTTACCTGATACTCTCTTTGATGGAGTTACTCTTGTAGTTTTTCAAGTCTGTATCTAGCTTCTCAAGCTGTCACAGAGAAAAAAAAACTCATTAAATACACTTTCAAGGCCATCAATGATTAATGAGTGTGGGAAAGGTTCCTGTGAGAGGAGCTACAAACAGTGTACTACAAGCCAGCCCAGGTGCAGGTGGTAACCATCACAAGCCTGCGAACAACAGCTGCACCTGTAGTAACAAAAGTGTTGTCCAACATGTAACAAGAAAAGAGAAATGGCCTGACCTCAACAAGAGAGCTGTAAATTCAAAGTGGCCCCTGTAAAAACACTCCAGATCACATCAGGAAACCTCCATCTCTCATGATTAAAAATGAGGAATGGCTAGTGCGAGTAGTTCATACCATATTTCACAAAAAAATAATCACAATCCTGGTCCTCCATCAAAAGCCAATGGCTTTTGCAGACACAAATTAATATCTAGTAATTTTCATTTTTAATTATCTTTGAAGATATTTCATAAACAAATAGGTATTGTAAATCACCTTTAATGCAGCCTTTTTACTTGTAGTTTCTATCCATGTTGTGTCCATGGGTGGGCATTCCAATTCACTACGACTGCTGTATTATAGGTAAAAATTTGACACAAAATTGACAGAAATTTTCAAATGTATGTACTTCCATGTCTGTCACTAATCAATATCCCAAGTACATGTATCGAATCATATAGTTACATTGTAAAATATGTCTGTAAAAATCATTAAAAAAAATTAAACTAAGCAATCAATGTTATAAAAATTAATTGACCATCACAATGGAATAATCTTGGATGTATGCATTCTGCACATCAGCTTCACAGGAAAATCTTCAGCCACACAAAATAAGGTTAGAATGAATGTTCAGTTTTCAATAACTTTCTTGTGAGTCCCTAAAAGTTAAGAGAGAAAGACATTTTTAAATGAACAAAATTTCTACACTGATGTAAAACACTAACCATGCTTCTGTCATCCTTGTCACAATTTCCTGGTACAACTGGACATTAAATGTTTGCTTCACATAACTGAGAGCTATCCTAGAGAAATAAACACAGAGAAATAACTTTCATTGGTACAAGTCATTGTTAAGAATATTTAAACTTAGATTGATTGCTAAAGGGTAAAGTTAATTGAAGAATCTGATCCCACTGACGCATCAGCTGAAGTATTGACCAACCCGTTGGTCGACACACTACCAACACCACAGACACACTACCAATGGGTCAGCTAACACACTTAGTCTAGCACCTTAACGTTTTGGCCAACACACTGGCATTGGCGTGGTGGCCTCATGGTTAGTGCGCTCAACTCCAGATTGAGCGGTCCAGGCTCGAGCACTGGTTGGTGACATTGTGTTGTGTTCTTGGGCACTTTACTCTCACGTGCCTCTCTCCACCGAGGTGTATAAATGGGCACCAGCAAATTTAATGCTGGGGTTAACCCTGTGATGGACTGGCATCCCATCCAGGCAGGAGAAGAAAAATTCTTGGTCGCTTCATGCTACAGAAACTGAGATTAGCTCTGGCCTGATGGACCACTTGGCTCACTTTGACTCGACCTTACCTACGGATGGTACGTAAAAATACAGTGTATATAATGTGAAGTTTTCTTTACCTCAATGCATCAACCTCTAGGGACGGACAATGTTTGGCAACAAACATTAGCCTGTTCAGCTTTGTTAGGCTGGTGTAGTTTGA